GGGGCGGCATAGAAATGTTTTAAATAAATAAATATACAAACAAGGTTTCCTGTTAATAAAATTGCTCATGTACATATCAGAGTTAAATCTAACACAATTAACTCCCCTGGCCGTTAAAAACAAGCTGCTCCATTGCAGTTATAGCCTCACTATTGCATTCCTCTATAAAAAACACTTTCATCAGTCTGTTATATCCTTACCCCACATATATTTTGGAAAAGTATTTTCTGTTTCAAATGATTTGGTCTTATATTCAGGTAAAAGTAAATGGGGGCACAACAATTTTACTGCAGGGGAATTTCTTTTTGGGGTTTTCCTCTTCTCATGAGTAGACCTACAAACATCCTTCCCACAGCTTAAAACAATGATATGTATTCTAGATCTTCATCCTCAGGAACACAGCTTTCTAATGGCTGAATCTTAACATCTCTCTTTTAAGAAGTTTGACATTTGATTTTTATAATTTTTCTGTGACCCTACAATATATTTCTTCAATGGAAGAGTTTTGCTGTAAATAATGGTTTGCTATTCATTCTGCATATTGCTAAAATGCTCATCATGCATTTCATAGAAACAGAGCGAGTCAGAAGGGGCCTCCCGGGCCATCTAGTCTGACCCCCGGCTCCAGCCGGCTCCGCTCAAAACATGCCGATTTCTTGAATGATGTCTGGATCCAGTCAACATATATTTCATTCTGTAGTTATCTGACTGCATATATATTGGCCAGATCCAAAGACCAGTTAATAAGTTTATGAGTGAGCAAGTAGCATGCCTTGTTCCAAGGTACCTGAATAAAGATCTAGAATATTTACCATCGCTTTAAGCTGTGAGAAAATATTCTGCAGGGTCTACTCATGGAATAAACAACAACAACAGAAAACAAACAGAAATTGGCTCTGCAACAATGGTATTGCTCCCATTCAACTGCAGCCAAATTAGGAATAAAAGACCAGTGCAAGTCTCCCCTCTAAACCTTGTGGAGTACAGCTCCCATCAGTCACAGCCTGCAATGGTCACAGATTGTAATACAAAGCACCTGGAGGGCACACAGTTGCTTAATGTGGGACTAGAGTAACAATATAGACTATATAACGTGGGACTAGACTATCTAGTGAAAGGGGAAGTAAGCCAAGCTCCTTGGAGGACGGGTGGGATGGTTACCATTATTATTAGGAATAACAGACCAGCACATACCAGGTGACCATTTGGAACCTTGAAGATAATGATTTCCATGTCTGCAATTCCTGATCCAGCAAGGAAGAACCTGCTCAGGTGTGTAGATTTTCTCAGCAGGAAAGGGTAACTGTCCTCACATTCTCAAAACTATCTTCCCAACCTTAGGAGCTACTAAAACACAGGTGGGGGATGTATGGCCCACCAGTTAATGTTGGGTTGCAGCTCCTATCAACCGTAACCAGCACAGCCAACGCTAAGAGATGACAGGAACAGCAGTCCAACACCACATGGCCTTTTTAACAAATGGACTTTAGCTTTTTAGGAAGTGATAACTGAGACACTTGGGATGCCAAGTTTTGCAGCCAAACTCAAATCAGTATTTGCTCTCTGCAATCACAGTCCTAACCATAACTATTACGTCCCACTCTCTGGCTGGGGACGGAACCCTGCGGGTTTGGGCTTCACGTTCCCAAGCGGCAAAGAACAGTATAAAGTGCGGGACTGGAAGCGCGAACCCTTCCGACACACTCACACGCAGCACTGCTTCTTGGTGTTTGGCCCGCCAAACTTTGGCTTGTCCAGGCAGTTGATGCACTCCCCGCAGTCCTGAAGCTTCAGGCAGCCCTTGCACTTCCCACAGCGCGTCATCCTGTTCTTCTTGCCGTGGTGGTGGTGGTGGTGGTGGTGGGAGACATGGCGACGCACAGGGGCCGGGGCAGCCTTCACAGCTGCATCTGCCTTCACTTGCTTCTGGTGGCCACTCTCATTCTCAGAAGCCGATGAGGTCTCTTTGGAAGGGAAAAGTCAGACAGATGACCACATTTCGGGCAGGGCTCCTTACTGCAGCAGTGGTGAGCCTCTCTCATCCCGAGGGCCACATTCTTTTCAGAGATGCTTTCAGGGCTGTATTCCAGTGGCAGGCAGGGCCAAAGGCAAAAAGGGCAGGGCCATAAATACAAAATTGTACCAGCAAGTTGTAGCATAAAGCTCTCGCTGCCAGGCACTGAGCCTCAGAAGAAGCATTTCAATTTTTCCAAATGAGGAAAGAGCTGTACAAAAGCTGAGAAACCATCACACAATCAGCAGCTGGGGAAAAGGAAGTGGTGCCAGAGAAGTGACCCTCTGAGGAATCCTGGAGGGCTGGACTGGGCACCCAGACCTGAGATCTCCTGTTCCTGCTGAAATATAAGCCCCATGTACATCTCTGCATTCCCCAAATATGTCCATGTGCACAAATAAACTTATATTCAGTCAGGATAAAATGAAATGCAAAATTTGTTTGCATACAGATTTAACTCACTAAGGAGGTTAGGGCAAAGTCCTGTATCAATCAACAGGGCTGGCATCAGGGACAAGTGTCACTGGGCAAGTGCCAAGGGCCAGACTCCAGCAGAGGCCCGCTAGCAGAAGCCCCCTGGCCCTGCTGCTCCTCTTCGCCACGTAACTACTCACCCTCCACAGTGGGCGATGCAGCTATCTCCTCCCTCTCCCGCAGTGGCAGGGCACTGAGGCGCGGCACATCCTCCGGAACCATGGCACGGGACTGCCCGAGGGCCACTGAGGCATGCCGACACACGTGCTTGATCCGGGGCCCCTGGACTGGAGACTCCTGGCCCTGTCAGGGAAGAGGGTTTGCTATTAGTTGGATCAACAAGCAGTGGGAGCTGGCCCTTAGCTCCGCTTCTCAACAGACCTTTGCTGCATAGTCTGAGGGGGGTGGCACTGATAAGAACCTCAGGCTGAGCGAGCCAACCCAAAGACAGACAGACAGACCAACAGGGATGGAGGGAGCAGGGAGCATCCCACGCCTCTGCATTTGGGTCAACAGCTCCAGGCACCACCAGCTAATGGGCCGAAATTTTTGAAACTGGAATTTCCCAATGCTAATTAATTTGCATAGGGTCAGTCATAGCAGAAAAAAATCAATCATCAGAAAATTATTAGGAAGCTATTTACTTAACATGTTGACTAAATCCAAATATGCATGTTTATTAAATACAAGTAAAACAGGGCAAAAAAGAGCTCTCATGTTGATTTTTTTGTCTCAAAATACTATATTTTGAACAAAATATACAAAGAGATAAATTTAAGCACACTTGCGGTCGGTTAGCACTATCATGGAGGGTAAAATTAGCTGTGATGGCTTGCTTCCTCTACCATGTGCACTGGTCATATGTTGGGGGAGATTTGTATGCTAACCTAGTGAAGGCGCCTTGCTGCCATCCATTCACATGATACACTAAACAACACCTGCACAAACTATGAATGCAACTGAAATGCACATGACAGTAAAAAATAACCTACAGTGACTTATATCCTGCTCCCTAATTGTGCTAACCTGTAATTTAAGCATTACATTATGTAGATATTTTAATAGAATACATCTAAAAATCCAAAGATGCTAGCATTTACTGCCCTTACATTGTTTAAAAGTAAGACAGAAATAAAGGTAGCGCAAAGTATTGACACACAAATTCAGGCTTCCCCAACTCAATACCCCCCAGATATTTTAGACTACTGCTTCCACCAGCCTTCAGTCAGCATGGGTGGCTGGGGATACTGGGAGCTGCAGTCCAACAAGGTTGGAGGGTACTAGGTTGGAAAGGCTACACTAATTAATTTTAGCAAGCCCAAGAACTGCGCACAATATGCTGACAATGCTCTTTTCCATTATAGTTGTTGAGACGCTTTCAGGTTTACTGTCTCTGCTTATGAGTTGAGAGAGACAGAGACAGAGAGAGAGATTTTCTCACATACCTCCTAGGAGTAATCACCTGACAAACATTCATTGCAACTCTGAAACTGCCAGGTTTGCTTAGCATTGAATTTGCAACTAGCATCTCCATCTATTCATTGTTAGTAATGCATTTATTAAACTGACTATTTTCTGTAGAAAAACAGAGCACTGCAAAACTTTCTGCACCACATCTTTGTCACCAGTACTATCATTAACTGAGGAATAACTCCACACATGCAAACAGGACACTGGTTACCTGCTTCCGGGTCTCTTTCCCATCTTCAACAGACACTTTGACTTCAGAAGTTGTCTCCTGCTTAACTGGGACCTTTAAAGACTCAAAGGCCTCTGCCTTGATGCTTTGACACCCCTGTAGGCAAAAGACAAGCATGAAAGCTTTTGGGTTTTAGGCCCACTCTGTTAATATGAAGTGCTCCAAGCAAATCAGGCTTCTCGCATCGTACTGGCAGTTCTCCAGTAGACACTAGCTAGCTTAATTGGAGCTGCAAGTGACACCCCGTCACCACAGGGCAAGATGTACAGACCCAAGGGTGTCAAGCCATAGAAAATCTTACAAAGTAAGGTTGCTTACCTGTAACCGAAGTTCTTCAAGTGATCATCTGTGCATTCACACATATGGGCTCTGTGCCAGGGCGGGGCCTGCTGTCGGGAAGATTTCCCCAGCTAAACTGTTTAAGTGGGAGCACCACACCTCCCTACCCCTAAAATATATAGGAGGAGCTCCCATTGTTTCCCCCAGTTCTCATGAGTCTCATTGTTTCAGCCTTGGAACCAGGGAGTAACAGCCTGGCCCATACCATCCTGGTACAGAGCCAAAGGGAAGAAGATACAGGAACTGAGGCTGTCAACATTGATGCGGGGCCAGTGGGCGGTTTGCATGAATGCACAGATGACCGCTTGAAGAATGTCAGTTACAGGAAAGCAAATTTACTTTCTTCTTCATGGTCTCTGTGCATCACACATATGGGTGACTAGCAAGCTTATCTCAAAACAGAGGAGGGCTAGTGTCATCAGCGGAGGATTGCTGAAAGGACTACTCAGCTAAAGAGGTCATCTTGCCTAGCACCGACACTGAGCCAGCGGGGTTGGGCAAAAATCCATGGAGTGGACCACATCACCACTCTCAGAGGACCTGCGGTGAGACACTGGTGTGCATGCTGTAGGTGCTGTCACTGCTCTTGCTAGAATGTGCCTGCGGTCATTCAGGACGAGACAGTGCAGCCAGTTGGCAAGCCAGTTTAATGGTCTCCATAACCATTAAACTGGTCGTTGGGCACTGATATGGGACACAGTCCAGAGGCGAGCCTAGGAGATGAAGTCTCTGAGAGTGAGACTGCTGCTGGGTCACAGGACCACCTTATCCTTATGCAAAGTGAGCAGAGGTGGGTTTACGTGCAACATAAGGGGTAGGTCCACAGTGGCCAAAGGCTCAAAGGAAGGCCTAATAAGGGCCTGTAAGACCACCAAAAGATGCCACCCTGGCATGAAGGAACAGACAGGTGGGGTCAGGTTGAAGAAACCATCAACAGTCCCATGAGTGGAAGAGATTGCCGCCAGATGTCCTCTAATGGAGGACAGTTTCAGGCCTCTAATGTGGAGCAAGTCAATTGTCTGATGGATGGATGCCCGATGTGGATCAAAGACTTCCTCCTTGGAGCAAGCCACCATGTTGGAGCGCCATGTGTTTGGTCACCAGGCTGCATCCAGGACCACCTGTATCTTGGAAGAGAGAGGGGCTTCCTGATCTACCATGCTGCCAGGTGTGTGGTCCCAATCTCCAGGTGTAGAATCACCCCCTGTCCTTGGAGATAATGTCCAGTCTCGTTGGAAAACAGAAATACTGGGCCATCGCAGATCAGCAGCTTGTCTGAATTGGACACTGAACTGGATGCATAATTGGCCAGATATGAGGACAAGAACTGGTTGGACAGCAGGGAAGTTGAGGCAGGGCAGACTGGGTGTGGGCAGGTGGCTGACAGGTAGGAGCTGGCAGCTGGAATGCAGGAACCAGTTACTGAGCTGCAGGAACTGGTGCCCACAGTGCCTCTGGATTATAGGCCAAAGGGCCCCACTGGCAAGATCATTAATCCATGGGCCTCCGCTCCCAAGGATGGCCATGATCGTATGGGTCTGGTAGCGATGATGGCACCCAGTAGGGTTCCCAATCTGAGGTCAGCAATGCAGACAAGTCATGAACTACCCACAGTACAATCACAAACAATGCTCAACCCATATTTAACTTTGCGTTTGTGAGGTCATATTGTATAAACCCAGTACTAGATCCCAGTACTACAGCGCTTGGAATACGGAGATGGTGTGAACAAAGCAGGAGCCAAACAAGCAACCAAAGGATTGAAAAAATTAACTGTAGTTTCAATCACCCAACAGACAAACCCTGGGCTAACTATGGGTTAGTGTTATGTGTGAACCAGTTTGACATATAAGGATTTACATGGGGGAGAGAGAGAGAACAGCAGAGCACCACAACTGTATGGCAAAGCACAGATCTTCACATCCAAAGAGTTTAAGCTGCTGTTACCAAAAATCTAGGCTCCCTTATTATTTTTAAAAATTAAGCAGACAAAAGCCGCCCTTTCCTCTCATACAAGAAAAGCTGAAGACAGTTTGTGCTTTGCTTGGGGCTTCCAGTAGTCAGGAAGTGTTACTTCTACTCTCTGTGCAGCAACTGCACCCTAACCATGGCCTCCAGCCTCTTTCCCCTGTTTCCTTCCTCCCACACATAAGCTTTTCTTCCCCAAGCAACATCCACATACAGGCAAATCAACGCTTGAGGAGAGAGGTAGGTGGAGAGAGCAAGACAGAAAAAATACGACTTTAAAATTACACAGGCAGAAGCAAGCATGCAAAAGCGGGACACAGACTTTTACACATCTTCCTTAAGCATAATGCAATTTAATCCCAAACAGCTTTCCAGGGGCACATTTGAGTTTGGCTTATCTATACATTTTCCTGCTTGTTCAATAAACTTAAAGACTTTTTGTCCCATGCACACAACTCCAAATAAGTACCTAGCAATTAAGATTGCAAAAGTCACTGCCTTTACATGGGGCAAAGCACGGGAAGCAGATTTTGCAGTGGTCAGGGAACTGGGCTTCAGTGCCCTGCACTGCCATCAGCCTCATCCCTGACAAGCAGAAGTGGAGTTATACCAAACAGGCAGATGAAGCCAACTATCCTTACATCAGCACAATCTAAACAGGTTACCATTCTTCCCAGCAAAAGTTGATGACTACCTGAACGCATGACCCACTTGTTCCTCTTTTGGAGAATGGAAGGGTGCGACATTGTTCCTCTTTTGGAGAATGGAAGGGTGCGACATTGATTACCAAGATCTTGTCTCCCCTGTCCCACAGCGGGCCCTGTGTGAGTTTGATCCAGGGCAACATCGACCTAGTTCCCACCAAGGTGACAAATCTGTACCCAGAGTCACTTGAGAGTGCAGACAAGGAGCTCATGAGATTCAATGCTCCTCTGCACAAGACAGATAGAAAAGGGAAGGCCCAACTACATGTTACTTTTCTACGTGCAGGAAACTATTTTGTGCATACACCTATGGAGAAGCATTTCATCACCTGAGACCCTACCTGTAGCCCCAGAGTTGACTATCTCAGGGAGAACTACCGTTAAATCAACAGTGTGAGATTTACACTATTTAGTTCAAGATGGTTCAGCACACCTAATACAAGAATCCTAACCCTTTGCCAGTGCATCACAGGCTGTTTGTTCTGGCTTCGTAGCATTTTAAGCACAAAATGCTACAATGAGCTCCATATGCTACTCCAGTGAAAATGGCTGATTATTTGGGATTGCAGCTGCTGTACTAGTGAAGGGTCTCTAATTTAATGGAACAAGTGATCCACATAGACACTTACACTAAGATCACATGTGTTTACTTTCACTGAACAGCGCTCGACAGTATCACTGTGTGCTGCTGCTTGTCATCAAAGAGAAAACAGCTCATGCAAACTCATCAGTTCAGATTCCCCTACCCCACTTATATTTCCATCTACATTTTCCAGGAGCCTTTCCCACCTTGGTGTACTCCAGCTATTTGGAACCAACTCCCGTCAGTTCCAGCCAGCATGGCCAAAGGTCAAGCATACCAAAGTTGATACAAAACCCCTGGAAAGCACCAGACCCAAGGAAAGATTTGTTTAGAGTCTTATAATCATTCCCAAAGCCCTGTCCCCCCATCACTAGGCCTTTTCTTACCGGAATAAATTTGAACTGCTTCTGCTGGTCAATCTTGTAGAGCTGCACCTTGGCACGCGTGAGTAGGCTGTACACTTTATCCATGCTGGACAGCTGCGTTATAATGGGCTTTGGCTCTTGCGGAGGGGGCTTCAGGCTAGCTGGCTCCACCTCACTCTCTGAACTATCAGCTTCTTCCTCTGCCTCCACATGGACAGATGGAGGTAGAATTCTTCGGATGGCCACCTTGTGCACTACACCAGGAGAGTTGACATCCTCCATGGTGATCAGCTCTTTGTCCTGGGCCTCACGTGGTCTAGGAACCTCCGTGAAGAGGGGCAAAGCAAGGTGATTTGTCCTTCCTAATAGCCTCTTCCCACTGCGGGTCACCACTGGCTCATAAGGGAGCATGGGGGCCTCTTGCTGCAACGTCGGGGGGTCCCTCCTGACCTCAGGGGAAGCTGACACTGGTTCAGATTCCTCGGGAGATACCGTCAGCGATTCATAGATTTTAAGGTGTGCCTCGCTGGGTGTGAACTGAGGGGCACGCAGCAGAGGAGTTCGCTTGGCTGGGGGAGAAGGGATTGGAGCTGGAGCACTGGACAGAGGAGATGAATCTTCACAAGGGAGCTGGAAGAGAGCTTTGCCCATATCCTTGGGAGATGAAGTGGGGCTCAGTGAGGTCCATCGGAATGTGGGCTCCCGGAGGATGGAACGGCGCTTCTCAGGTAGGGCAGGAGCGGAGGAAGTGATGTGAGGCAAGCTAGGAGAAGGTGGGGGTGAGAGGGTCCTAGAGGAGTCTTTATCGGGAGAGCCAGGGACAGGGGAAGTCAGCTGCAGGGGAGCCACTTGCAATGGCAATGCAGGGGTCTCCTGCCTGTCTAGACAAGGTCCTTCAGCTGCAGGGCTCTCCACAGGCTTGGCCGTCTTCTGGGGGATCTCATCCATAAAGCGGCGGGGGGTGCGAATAAGGCGGGATGAACGGGCACTCACCACGGGCATGATAAACTGACGAATATTCTTCAGGAAGTTGGCCTTGTGAACTGGCACTTCCTCGTGGCCAGGAACGCCAGGCTGCTGTGCTGCTCCCAGAGCTGCCTCTTCCCTGGCCTTAGCTGGCAGCTGCTGAATAGCCGCCCTCTGAGCTCGCTGGGTCGGGGTGAGGGGTGGCCGACCACGGCCCCGTTTCAAGCACTGTGCCCGTGTGGAATGGGCAATGCTAGCAGGCCCCTCCTCAGGAAGGGTTCCCACCCCGTCCCTCTGTGGACCAGGTTGCTGGAGCCCTTGTTTCCAGGATACCCTGTTGGGTGAAGCAGGAACGCCACTGCTTGGCGCCGGAGCCTCTGCTTCCAGGTCAGAGGCCTCTGGCTCCACAGTCGGAGCTTCCAGTAGTCCTTGCACGATCACCTCTGGCTGCAGTTCTGGCTTCGTGGCAGAAGGTTCTGGTTGTGGCTCAGGATGTGGTGCAAGAACCTCTGGCAGAGGCTCTGGGATAGAAGAGTTCTCCTTCTGTTCTCGTTCTGGGGGAGAGGCATCCAACTCTGGCAAGGGGGCCTCCAGTTCCAAGACAGACTGGGAGGGAAGTGGAGAGGATTTCTTCCTTGGCACAACGCTCCACTTCTTCTTGCGTCCCCTCCTATGGCCGGGGGTCTTTAGCCGGACATGAGTCACCACCAACTGGCCAGACTTGTGCCGCCTCGCTTTTGAGAAGAACTTCAGGATGAGAGGTGGCTTCTTCAAAGATTCGGGGGTTGGAGAAGATGGGGCGACCACTTGGAATGGGGAGGGTGACCGAGTGCTGCTGTCAGGTTCAGGGAGGGAACATGGAGCTTTGGTGTTTGGAGGAGGAGGCCCGAGTCGCACAGCGGTTCTCTTTGAGAAGGAGCCCCGTGGCCGGCCTCGTGGCCTGGGCAGTACAAGGGAGTTGGGGGGCGTCTCTGTTTGTGGCGACAGGGTGGGAGAGGTGGTGGGTTTTCCGGATTCACCAAGCTCTGGGCCTGGTTTAGACTGTTCAGGAAGCATCTTGTCAATTTTGGGTCCAGAAGCCAGCAGCTGGCCCATGCTTCCTGGAGGTCTCTTGTTCCTCTGAAGCAGCTCGGCCAAGGCCTTCACCATGCGCTCCCTCTGGGATTCCACAGCCTTCTGCTTGGCCAGCCGCTTGGAAAGGGTGTCTTCAGCAAGTGCCCTCTTCTTCCTGCCACGCACTGGAAGAGCTGCACCTGTAGAAAGAGGAGAAACCCTTATTATTTATTATTTGATATTGCCCCCAACCGCCTTAGCTTCAGAAATGCCTTCACCAGCATGTCAAAAGGACTTGCTGGCTAGCTGTGCTTTCCGACCTAAAGAGGGTGCTCTCTAACATGCTGGAAAGCACTTCACTATGCAGCTGATGGTCACTCAACAATTCTGCTTGCAGGCACTGGGCTGATACAGTCTTGCCTGAGAGCACTTTGCTTGGTCACCTGCAGTGAGTTAAAAGCTGCCCCCAGGCGACCACATGCTGCCCTGTCAGCAGCATGTACCTTGAGGTGCAATGCCATACCAGCCTGGAAAACACTGGGGGAATGTTAAGGATGGCCTTTCTTTCTAACAATCAAGTGTAGCTTTTATTATGCGGTAGTACTCTCAAATTGCCTTTGGTATCCTCAAAAGACACCTGTTCCAAGCCAGTGATAACATGCATATTTATTTAAATCTAATTAAGCAGTTGAGGAGGCATTTAATGAATTAATCAATTCTTGTGAACTGCCAAAAACACTTCGGCTATTAGGCAGTACTTAGATGTAATAAATAAATGAATCCATTTAAGAAAATGTAGCTAGCGGAGTGTCCTAGAACAACATTGTAACAACTAACTGGGGCTGAACTCCACTGAGCAACCTTGGAGACATTTGACAACATCTTTATATATGACCTGAAGGATGTGCCCTCAATTCAGGCAGCCTGACAGGTGCTCAGTAAGTGACCATGAACCACAGGGTCTCAGCAAGGCCACTGCCGTGGAGACAGAGAAGAAAAGAGAAGCTGTACCTTTGGGAATTTTTTTCCTGCATTCCATCGGGTTCCCTAAACTGTGCAATCCCAGCTGTTAAGAATGGTAAAGTTTAAGAACTGGTCCTTGATTCTACTTTCCCCCCACTTTCCTCCCCACCATTTTCTTCTTTTACGGCACGTCTTTTAGACTGTAAGCTTGAGTTCTGGGTCTGTCTTTACATTTTATTGATCTGTAGGCTGCTCTGGGACCCTTTCTGGCTAGACAGAGTAAAAATACAACTACTCTATGCCTACTAAGAATAATGATAATGGGAGATCACACCAAAGAAGACTCTCCGGCTGGAGAGATGTCATGCTTCCTCTTTCAGCTTATTTTAGACAGAGGCAGAATTTGCATAACATGGCAACCCACCCCAGGAGTAAACCGCACCATGTGTTGGTCAATTCTAAGTACACTAACCCAGTTAACTCAACTCCTAGCTTGTCTAGCCTCTAATAAATCAGCAACCTGAGTTCACAGGTCATGCTCCACAACCTACAAAAGAGCGAATCATGAGTGGTGAGGTAAAAGTGAAGAGGTGAGCCAGTGGGCTGGCTTGTCCACAGTCGTGCACGGCAACCTGTCAGGTTTTTAATCAAGGGGTTGTCGTTATATGAGAACAGGCCCCACATAAGCACCCTACCAACGCAATGTGGCGCAAGAATGCTGGGGAGCCATTGTTTTTTAAGACGTTTACTACAGTTCAACTAAACTATTTCCTGTTCCATATGATGGGATTTTATGTGCTATTTTTCAGTTCCCCCATTGCTGGAGCATAAATGTTTATGGGCACTTCAGGGCACTGCCAGATCTGCCAGGACCCGGTGACCAAGCAATAACACCCTCACCTCTTTTAGACCGTAGAGCAGCACGCAGCGAACTTTGAGGGGCATCGTCCTCCAGACGGAAGCCCAGGAACTCCTCCTGCAAAGTGAGAGAAAAGGAACCATCTCATTTAAAACATGGAAAACCCAAAAAGGACGCCATTCTAAAAAGGAGGGCCGCACCCGCCACCCACAGCACATCCCAGACATGGCCATGGCTAAACCCCTCTCTTCTAGCACCACCGCACCTGGGAGAACGCTAAGATGCCAGCTCTATGATCCTTGAGGAGGAAGGAAATAGAGCAGGACACTCCTGTAAAAACGGTAGAGGAGCAAGATGCTTGACCCACAAAAGCCCTCCGGGATTATTCAGTGGTGTTTGGATCTGCCTGAATATAGTTCCAGACGCCAAGAAGTTCACTGGGTCAAAACTGAGTCACACTGAGATACAGACATCACAACACGTATGCCTCAATCCTGAATGATAATGCAGGTGGCCCAAGGACCTGCCTCCTCAGCAATACTCAAAGAAGCAGGAAACAGCTTTCGTTCCTACTGTCCCTGCTGAAAAGACCTTTCTGACCAATGTGCAACAGGAGTAACATGGCCAATGGTTGCGTGGAAGCGTTGCAAGCTAGGCACCATTTTGTCACATCTGTACAAGGAAGGCTCTGTCTGTCCACAGCTCAGGTGTGGAAGGACCACATCTTGTGGATGATAGAAGGTAACAGCACAGCAAGCACACTGTGACTTCTTCCTCAGTTGGGAAAACAGTCTCAGGCATGCTACCCTTCTTCCCTGACAGACAAGGATGACATTAGACTGAGCCTAAGCGAATACAAAGATGCCTGAAATTCATTTTCTGCTGGCCAGTCCTGAAGAGCAAAGTGCAATTGTCACCTAGAGGGAAATGTAAGGCACTGCCGGCCACCCTCAAGGCAGCTGTGCAACACACAGTGAGCAAAGCCACACTGCAGGAAGGGGCACGATACAATGCCCTCTGCAGGAGTTCAGCAAGGGGGCCCTGCAGCACAGGCAGGGACTCCCTGCGGACAAGAGCCACATTCAGTCAGGGTAATTGGTCAGAAGCTCAGTGCCACTGGTGGGTGCGGACAATGCCACCCAAGCGCAAAGGCACTCGTTTCCCCTTCCAGTTCTGCTTTCCATTTCTTTCCCTCTTCTCTTTTCCCTTTGCACCCAATTGGTAGCTTAGGGAAGAAGAGATTGTCCTTTCTAGAGATCTGAACTCATCTCTCTCGGTGGGCTTTTGAAATCAGGGGTAGGGCCACAACTGCGTTAGAGCCACTGTTCCTCTTTGCCTACTCTTGGTGGATCCTCACATTGTCTTACATCTGAAGCTGTAAAATGGGCAGCTGCTCCAAGGCTTTCCAAACTCAACCTTAGAGTCCTAATTACTGGGAACTGGTGAGATATAAATAAATATAGTAATTGATCCCTTCTAACACTCTCATCCAGAGTGTGGCAAAGGAGGAGCGTTAGTAGCACTGCATAAACATGTGTACATACTTTGCAACTTATGGATGTGTAAACCAAGAACAGGGTAGAAAACTCAGTGCCCTCTAGATGTTATGGGCTACGACGCCCATAATCCTGAGCACTGGTATGGTAGCTGTGACTGAAGGGAGCTGTAGTCCAAAACACTTGGACAGCCTATCCCTGGAGTTCCAAACCTCTTTCAGTCTGAAGTCCACATACACCTCTGGAAAAGCTCTGCACAGCCACTTTCCCAAAGGGGCTGGGGACAAGGGTAAAAGAAGTGGGACCGAAAAGATCTGCATATTTTAGCTTAGAGCTCTTACTGCTAGCGAGCAAGCTTTTCGAGAGGCAGTTCATCCCTTTGGAATAAGGGACAACAGTGTAAAAGTCAGTAAGCCAATGAACTAGGGAGACTTTCCAAGGGTGATACTGGGCCTGAGGTTCAAAAGCCCTGATCTAGTGGATGCAGCTATTTGAGGATGGATTTGGTCACAGAAGAATGGTGCCTGGTGACACCTCCCTAGCAAATCCTTCCCTTTCCCCCTCCGTCACATGCATCCAATGCAGCTGTAGCAGAGCGCAGAAGACTTTGCAATCTACTGTTAAGACAGAAAGAGCTTTTGACATTTTCCTCTAACAGAGATCACTGGGACCAGCTGAAACAGCACCACAAACTACCTAGACTGCCACTGCCATCAAGGGCAATGCTCAAGAAATGGAAGTCCGGCCATTTTTAAGAGAGACTCACTACAATAAGCCAAAGGGAAACACTGGGGTTCATGCTGAGACTGTCAAGAACATTTGAACCGACAGACTACAGGCTGAGAGTCAAGGCCAAGTCCGCCTCCCTCTAAGGACTCTCCAGGTGAGCTGTGCTGCTCTCAGTCTCTATTTCTATTCAATACATAATGAGTAATGATGTGCATGTGGGCAAAGGATGCGACATGACCTCTTTTCTCTCTCTTGCCATTAACATCAATTCCCAGTGTACCACCTTCTCCA